GATGGCTCAGCTTTCTCTTCTCCTGGGAATCACAGTGTCACGGGTTCTAGGATTCTCTGGGCATTAAGATTGTCTTCCCTTTCTGTCATGCATTGGTGCCTTGACCATTCATTTAAAGATTCACTTTCTGAAGGCTGTGTGAGAAGGACTTCAGAAACCGAGATGTCCCTGTCACTGTGGGAGACTGCTGTTACTCATGTATTTTTTATTGGTGCATTATAGTTGCATACAGTGGTGGGGTGCTTTATTACACATTCGTACATGTAAAACAATGTCACCTCCCAGGATTTCCCCGCTTTCTCCCAGCCTTCCTCTTGGAGGCTGCTCTGAGCCTCTGCTAGCAGTCTGCTGAGGGAGGTAGATTCCCCTTGTTCTCTAAATCTGTGGGGACAGTACCGTTAATGCTTACTCACCTGGAGGAGCCACACAATTATGGTTCACTGCCGCCCCCACCCCCTGTCATCATGGCTTTTAAATCTTGTTCTTAATTTAGCTAATCTTAGTTAACCTTAGTCATCACATCAAAACTACCACACATGTTGTAAAAATCAGAACTGATTTCCTTTATCCCTTCAAGAAGCTTCCTCTGTGAAGCCTGTCACTCTTGGGCTTTGGGAAAAGAACTTCACCCTTGCAAAATCCTGTCTGTTTTATCTGCCAAATACCTCGTGGGTTTTTTAAAAAGCTAAAATATACAGAGAGGCGTGTACTGGAGTCACTTAGAGTAGGCGAGGGTGACACCTGCTGGCCAAATGTGGTTAGTGGCTGTGTGGAGAGCTGGCCCCTGATGTGGGCTGTGCCAAACCAGAGATCATTACAGACAGATGTTCTAAGTGGCCCAACACATCTATCCAAGAGCAAGTGATTTCTACTTAAAGAAATTTGTATCCATCACTGTAGACACTTATGTGTTTGTGGAAATTCATCTCACATTTGAAAAGTTTAGCAGTACATTTCCTTGGTAAGGCCATGGGAAAACAGATATTCATAATGCAGAGTGTCACAAATCCTCTGGAGGGGAACTTGGCATCACCTCACAGCTTTCTATGCATTTATCCTTCAGCCCAGCAATCCCACCTTAGCCCAAAGAATTTCTCCAACAATATAAAAATACATTAGCACAATATTGCAACATGCTTTATGATCATGAAATATAGGAAATAGTTATCAAGACCCCAAATATAGGAGAGTGGCTGAGTAAACCACACACAAATTGTGTCACTGTGCAGTTTTAAGAACAAGGAAGACCTATATGAACTGAGAAGAATGAGGAAGGCCCATATAAGTTAATATGGAGCCCCTCCCAGGATGGATTACTAGGCAGAGAGAGACAGCTTTGAACAACTTGAGGTTGGATAGAAGAAATAAGAAATAGGTAGACAGGAGTGATAAAGGAAGGACAAGAGTAGGGGATTTTAATTTAGAATTTACATGTACATTTCAGGCCTTTTTTCCCTAAGCCAGTCTTTCTTTCAGGTCTGTTACTCCCAATATTCCTGGTAAATCTACCTGTGCACTATGAATTACCGCCCCCTCCCCATAAATAAATTAAGCAAAGAGAGATGCATTACCGTGAGGAACCTATAACTTAGGGGACTTTCTGGCCTATCTACTGATCCATATCAGCCTGAGGCTCATGAGACCACCAGAAGCTGTCTTGAGACCACTGGGCTGGTATTATTCCTACATACCTTTCCACACTCATCCCTCATCAAGTTTCCTTTAAAAGAAGGGCCAGGAACCCCAAACTCATCTCTTGCCCCATCCTCAAATGTGTATTCTTGTTTTACCCCCAAAGGGAGTTCTCCCTTGAGGTTGCCCCCCTCTCCCTTGAGTGTGTATCTCCTTCCTGAACAGGGCTCTGTCTATGCTCCGACTGGGCAAGCCAGATCTTTCCATCATGTAAGCCAAGAGCCCCACTGGTCCTGAGTGGACTTTCCCCTCTCTGGGAACTTCTCCACTCCTCTCAAAGATACCTCTTCTCCTGTGACAAGCTGACACTGTGTCAATGCTGCTTTTGACCTAATGTAGGACAGCATTTAAATTTAAAAATCTTTTTGGTACTGGGGATTAAACCTAGGAGTGCTTTAATGAGTTATATCCCCAAACTTTTAAAATTTTGAGACACCGTTTTGCTAAATTACCCAGGCTGTCTTCAAACGTTTCCTTCTCCTGCTTTAGCTTCTTGAGTAGCTGGGATTACATGGGTATACCATGGTACCCGGCATTGAAATTTTAAGCACTTGAAATTTGGGGGTGGATCAGGAAAGGTAGGGAAGGCATTCCAAGTTATGTAGGAGACCCAGTCCTCCTCCAAACTCACGTATGCAATCTATCTGGGGCAGGCTGTTTCTCTCCACATATAGATATGGAGATAGCCATCAATGCAGATACCAAGCGCCTGTCTATGACTAGGCGATGACCTGGGCCACAGGACTGCTTGATGCAGAGCCCATGGACAGGTGAAGCTTCAGACCATGGCCACAGTGCCCCGGCCTGCAGAGCTCCTTAACTCCAGGATTCTATGCTTATCTGTTGGGTGTGTGTTGTATTTAAATTTCTCCCTTTTAGTTCTAAAAAGCTGAGCATTGGCATCAGGTGGAAAAACTCTATTGGTTTCAGCTGTGAATTCTGTTTCTGCAAAGATAATCTCTCATTTCTCTCCTCATTTCTGTTATTCCAAAGGGCTTGGTTTTTATTTAACCATTGCTCACCTCTCTCTCTTGTCTCATTTTGAATTTCAGAGGCCTCTTTATTTCACAATTCTTCTAAGGAGCATCGGGGCGGCAGGGAGCCTGACCGTCTCTCTAGCGCCACCTTTCGACAAGAGTCGAACATTGCACCCCTGGCAAAGGAGAAATATTTAATACGAACTGGGGCTCTGAGACAGTACGCCCAAACTCACTTGGTGACTGCTTATATGCAACCCTAGTGTATTATTTATTTGGATTTTACAGGATTCAGACTAATCTTCTCTTAAACTATTTTCTATACCTTTGTCTTTTTCCTCCTCAATATGCAATTCACAAATATGTTCACGTTGCTTTCATTGCTTAACTTATATACTTATATATTTGCCTCTACAATGCTAGAGAACTTCTTTAAAATCTTTCTAATGATAAAAATTAGTATCACCTGTTCTTTTCTTTGCCCCTTATGAGGGAGGAAACATACAGTGAGTTTATTTTAGCAATTGGTCTATAACTGACTTCCATCCACCACAGTAGAGATGATGGATGTATTAGGTAGGCATGCAGGTGAATGCATAATTGGATACCTGAAAAAAGAGAGAGAAAATAAACAGAAATCAAAGAATATGTACCCAGGTAAAAACATTCATGAGAGAAATACTTTTATTAAAATAAAAATTGTGGGGTTGGGGTTATGGCTCAGCAGTAGAGCGCTCGCCTCGCATGTGGAAGGCCCTAGGTTCGATCCTCAGCACCACATAAAAATAAATAAAAGTTACTCTGTACAACTACAAAAAAATAAATATTAAAAAAATAAAAAATAAGATAAAAATTGTAAGACTTAAATTTAATCATTGATATTGATAGGGGACAGATTCAAGCGTTGGGAACACAGGTTAAAGGAATATTCTATAAACTGGGCCACTGTGCTGACCCCCATGTGCTTTCTTTCTCAAGAACCATTTACCTGCAGCCCTGCCTGCCTAAGTGGACAGGATCTGTCACATTCCTCAGCAAACTACCTGTTATCTGCTGGAGAAATGCAGGCCTAAAATAACGTTGATAAGAGGAACCCAAGTTACCCTGAAGGGGGAGCCTTTTGTGTGCCTTTTCATAGACCAGATCCCAAAATTTAGGAGATAAGGATAATTCCTCCTAACCAGGAAATCTGTAAGAATGGATGGTTCAGAATCCAATTAGAACTGTCAGCATGGGCCAAGGTGACCTAGAGTTGCCATGGCAGGGGGGACTTGAAAGTCAGATGTCATCCTGCTGTCAATCAAAAGTCAAGAGGTGACCTGGGTGGGACTCTCTGGAAACTTCTATAGGATCCCCAATAAAACTGAAGTGCAGGAGGGTCACACTGTCCCTCTCTTCTCTGAGAGGACCCACTCTGTGTCCTCCTTCCCTTTTCCTATTCCTTCAATAAACTCGTGCCTGTTACTCCGACTGGCATGTCATTTGATCACAAAAATTGGGGTTTGTGGGGAGTCTTTGCACTGCCTCTGTTTTCCAGAAGGCCCCAGCTCTGTAACAATATCAGAAACCTGGGGCCATTGGGGTGGCATTTCATCCTTGGCATGCCTTTCTCTCTCCATCCAGACTTACTAGGTCATTTTCTTCCTTTTGTTCTTTCTTTTTGATACTGAGGATTGAACCCAGGGGGCACTTAGCTAGTTGCTTAGGGCCTCGGTAACTTGCTGAGACTGGCCTCAAACTATGCCATCCTCCACCCTCCCCAGCTGCTGGGATTACAGGTGTGTGCCACCATTGCCTGGCTCTGTTTCTTTAACAAGCTTTCAAAACAGAGAATAGGCAAGAGCCAGTCTGGAGGTCCCTAAGGAGACACATTTCCACCCACAAGTGAATACATGAGCACCAACTCTATTGTCACATTACTAGCGGGTATGGGAATCTGCCCTTTGCTTCTGCCACTCTTCCTGGTGGTAAAGTTGTGCTTCTGAAGGGTACGCCCACATCACCTGCTCATTAGGTTCTTCCCATGAGTGCTTTAGTATTGTTATTTTTCTTCTTCCTCATTTTGTATCATGAAACTCTTTGTTATTATTTTGTTATACTGCCTTATGTATTTCCAGTATTTCTATAGATTTCTATATCTGTTAGTAAATTTTTATTCACTAACAGATATAGAGATATATCTGTCATATATTAATAATGTATGTTTTGCAATGACCTTCCTTCCTTTATCCAGTTGTTTGAAGTAGGGTACACAGTATTTTATAATCTTTGTTCAATAATGAATTTCCATTGCAATCCTCCTGTATTATTCATCAGCTCCTTTAGGACTCAGGCTTTCTGTAAACAAATGATGTAAGCAACAGAATTATTTTATCAGACCTGAAAAAGAATAACCCTAAATGATTCCTGGATGTTTTGCTCTACAACAAAAAGCATTATTTATTAAGTGTGTGTGTTAGTCAACTTTGTGCTGCTGTGGCCAAAATTATCCCAGAAGAACAACTGAGAGGAATGGCAGCTGGAGAGCAGAGAAAGGGAGACTAAGCATCAAGGGAGAAGGAAACCCCTCCAGTAACCTACTTCTTCCAGCTCTGCCCACCTCCCAATAGTCCAGTCAGCCATCCAATTGATTAGTTCATTTATGAAGTCAGAGCCTCAAGATCCGTTCATTGCCTAAAAGTTCCACCCACCTCTGTACACATGAGACTTTGTGGCACATGCCAAATCAAAACTGTAACAGCACATAAATATTCTTTCAGACCTTTAAGAAAAAAAAGTCTGGTCACAGTGTCATATCCATAAAACTCTTTGACTCTTGTTATTGTGGGTACCAAGAGAGCAGTTCTAGTTGGCTGTGATTCAGATTTTTCATATGAGGACCTCAACATGCTTAAAAAACCCACAGACAACATACTTTATATCCAAATAAAGTATGCAGGCCACAGATAGAACATTTCCTGATGGGAAAATTAGGGTGCAAAAATCCGCAATGAGCCCAAATCCTGTGGTGTTGAAAAGCACAGCTCTTCAGCAACTCTCAAAGTAAACTTTATGAAGGTACCAGCTCAGTTTCATGAGTCATACTGACCTTCTTTACAAATGAGTGATTTATGTAATCTGGATGAAGGAAATGGATAGAGAGTCTTTTTTTGCTGAGAGAAGTATTAATGAATGAACATGAGATTCCCTGAGTCCCCAAGCTCAGGCCATGGCATTCATGGTCATACAAAACCAGAAGAAAACAACAAAACAAAATAATACAAAACCAAAGCCAATCAAACAGAAAAAAATGGCTGAATTAGCCAAGATGTGTGCCCTAGGCCTCCCAGGGCCTGGGCTCCTGGTTTTTTCAATTCAATTCACTCTAAAATATAATTTTATACTCATGGTGTGCCATTTTTCTTTTAAGATTGGCACTTCATTCAAATGAGTATACATTTTCATTCCTGTGACAACATAAACTTGGCCAGAGAGTAGCAGTTGTTTTTTGTGAGTCCATAGGTGGAAGCAATACTTAGATTTAAATTCCAATCTGGTGGATTTCAGCAGCCTTTGCACTTTGCTTGTATATCTGGCATTCAGAGCTGACATGGCAGTGGATGGATCCTGCTGCCCCCACTAGCCTGCAAGTGATTGCTGCTCTGGGATGCAATGAATGCTCTTACCTCCCCACCCCAGCAGTCCTGCTCAGGGTTTCAGGTCAAGCTTGCTTATCACTGCTTTAGGGCTCCCATCCCTAAAGCATTGCATTTCCTCACATTATGAAAGACCCTAGCCCAGTCAGCCCAGTTACCTAAGGCCAAGATATGAAACCAAGATACCAGGCACACCATAAACAGGTTCAGGCGCCAGGCATGCTTTCCGGACAACCGGTTGAAGAACAGAGCACCCGCATCCTGAGGCATGAATGAATAAACCGGAACAGATAAGCAGGAACAGAAAGAATAGAATGCAGACCTGTGGTTTTTGGAATGCAGACCTGTACCCCATAGGTGGCCTATATGCTAGATTTAAACAAACCAATAAGAAACCTGTTGCTTCCCGCGCGCATGCGCGCGAAACCTGTCCCAAACCCTATAAAAATCTCTGTATCCCCAAGCCCGGTGTGCCAGTTCACCAAAGCTCCGGCTGAGGTTCTACTGGGCACCCGCAGGCGCCTGTGTCCCAATAAACAAACCTCTTGCTTTTTGCAGCCAGTGTTTCGTGTGATTCTCCTTGGACAGGGATACGGGGGTCTTTCAATTACATGCTATAAACTTGCACTGTGCACCAGGAGAGGTCTTTTCTGTCTGTATCTACCTTTGCTTCAGAAGCTGTAGCTTCCCCCAGACCAGTGAAACCAGTCTGGAAACTGAATGGTCCCAGTTGGGAGTCTCCTCGGCATTCTGAGGTCATTCTCACTTTCCCATCACTAAGTAGTTATAAAATAAGTGCACTTTGGCTAAAAATAGGTCAATGTGTTTAGAACGCACATGCTTATTGTGTGCACAGTAATAGAGTAATAAGCTTTTCTGGTTATAGCACTGCCTACCGGTGTAACTGTCCTGATTTAAGGGACTCATCCATGTGCATAAGCATTTTCAAGCTGGGCTATTTATCAGGTGTCTGAGATGTGAAGCTGCCCAAGGTTCTCTGGGTGGTCAAGTCTTTAGAGGTAATCTCAGACTTAGAAGTTGTAAACTGGAACAAGGAGTTCCAAATAAACCCCAATCCAGATTCCCTAATTAGTGACATTTCACCACATTCATTTTGAAGCCAGATTTAAAGATAAGTAGTTAGTGTAGTTAGGTAAACCTGGTCTAATATCAAGTAAAATCAATAATGAAGGCCATATTGAGAATGGAGTCCAGGAAAAGGGGAATTGAAAAAGTCCCCAAGACCCAGAGCCCATCCCAAGGAATTGTTAATGAAGCAGCTCCCAGCAAACAAAGAGATGCTAATCCCAAAACCCTTAATGGCCAGATTACTCCTCCGGGTCTGTCTGTCCCCCATCTTTTGGGCCTTCCCACCTACATTTCATCACTGCAAGATAACAGAACAAAGGACAGGAATGCATGCGACAGGAATCTGGGAAATCTGAAAGTAAACCTTAGCTATAAAAAAGGGATGATCCAGCCCTTCCACAGATTCCACCTATTGGGTCCCCTTCTTCCTCCAGGGAGAAAAGTCTTTTCTGCTGTCCTTTAATAAAACTTCAAGTTTCTACTCTAAACTTGCCTCGGGATGCTTCTCTGGTGTTATACTTCAGCATCGGGGAAGACTCGTCACTGGTAAACAGCGGTAACAATTTTACCCATTTTATGCTTATCTGTGTGCACATACACAGTCTTCTGAACAGATTGAGAGTAAGCTGCAGGTGGAACAACTCTTCAGTTTCTAATATCTCAGTGTGAGCTTTCTAAGTACAAGTACTTTCACAGCCACAGTATCATAATCAAAATCAGGATGTTACTGTGAACAGAAAACAAATTACTTATTCAGATTTTGTCAGGTGTCCGGATAATCTTCCTCATGGCTCAAGAAAAAAAAAGTCAGATAGGAGAACTAAGTTGGCAGAATATAAAGTTAATACCCAAAACCAATGGCCCTCATATATACGAGCAGTTTGTGAACTACTGTTGGAAAAAACCGAATATACAAATCAAAGAAGAATGAAGTTAACAAGAAAAATGTAAAATGTATATAAAAAATCTTTAAGACTCTCTTGAAAGATACAAAAGTGGATTTGAATGAATGGAAAGACACCCTTTTTTCTTGGATATGATGATTTAAGTTTAAAAATGTCAAGTGTCCCTAAATTAATTTAGAAAGTTCAATTCTAATTTAAAAATACTAATAAATATACGAATATATATTGGGCTATACATGTTTATACCAATTTTAAATGGAAAAATAAGCAAAAATACCCAGGAAAACATTGCAAAATAAAAGTCATGATGAAGGACCAGAGTTAGTCAATAAATCACAGCCTAAGACACATAAAAGAAAAAAATGTGGTGCTGATTCAGGAAGAGACAGCAAGAGTTAGGGTTAGCAAATACAAACCCATTTGGGAATTTAGTATAAGATGAAGGTGGCATCTCAGCCAAATGGAGTTGAGGCAAGTGGGAAAAGAGAAAATTTGACCTCTGTCTCATGCTCGGCAATCAACCAACAGCAAATGGATTAGGAATTGGTGAATGAATAATGAAATCATAAAAGTACTAGGAAAAAAATCATAACAAAACATGGACAAAAATCCCCTATAATCCAGGTGCAGGAAAAAGGATTTCCTTGTTTCAAAATAACAATAACAGAATAGATTGATAGCTTTGACTACATTTGAAAACAATCCTTTCTATGGCAAAACAAGCCCAAAATATAATAAATACAAGACTCAAGACAACTAAAAACGGTGGAAAAAACTGCAGGGAAAGATTCCTCATGGCTAGGACGAGGAAAGGTGCAACAACCGCTCTTCCTTATCACGGAGAAGTCAGTCTCACCACAAGGTCTCGGTGTTCCTGGGAACACAGACGCTGCTGGTTTGGTAGGTAACCGAGGAATCCCAGTGCTGAGTACTGCGCGCCCAGGCGTTGCATTCGCTGGACAGCGCTCTGGGGTTGTCTCTGGGCACCCAGGGACGCATGACTTTTTTTTGGTTACTTTACTCTTTGATTTTTCCGTTAGGTTTAGTTATTTTTTTTTTAAATTTCTTCTACTTAGTTGTGCATGACAGCAGAATGCATTTCAATTCATCGCACATCGCATACAAATGGAGTGCAACATTTCAATTCTCCGTACACAGTGTAGAGACGCACCATTCCAGCAACCGAACGCGCACCAAGGGTAATGATGTCTATCTCATTCCACCATGTTTTCTGTAGGTTTAATTTTTAAATTTTTTTTGTTTTTTTTAATGGGTGATAAGGACTTACTCCAGAGCCCGCACATGCATTGTACCTCTGAGCCCCCCCACCCCGCCCAACATTTTTATAATCAAAAAGAAACCTAAAACGCAAGTTTCTGAACTCCTAGAATCAGCGCTCTGGTTTTGCAAAGCCACGCCCCCAAAACGCCAGCCAATCACAGATACTCTCCAATAAATTCACTGGAGAGTTAACAACAATCCACTCTTCTACAGATGGTGTCAAATCCTTTTGCCTCTGAAATGCACTCCCTATCCCTGGACCCCATTCTTCCCCAGGGCACGCAAGATCAATAGCCTGCTCCACTGGGTGAGACTGTACCTACTGACATAGCTCCTCCTTCCTGGAGGGCACAAAACCTTGTTTTGGCTTTTTCTGCTCACATATTGAATGGCTGTCTCATCATCCTTCGACACCAAACCCCAAGACTTAAGATCATCATTCTGATTGCCTTGGGAGCATTATATCATGGGCATGCAGCAGCGGAAGTAGAAACCACTTGAGGCAGTTGGAAAATAACATTTCAAGGGATGGAGTCTGTGTTGTGAAACAGCCTTTCTTAAAGAGTTTCGTTATTCTTGGTTCTAGTCTTGAAAAGCAGAAACTTCAGGCTGGCCTTGAGCTCTTCCTCCTGCGTCAGTCTTCCAAGAAGCAGCAACTCTAGGTCCCAGACACCAGTCGGAGCTTTAAAGCTACTGAAAATCTTATGTGGGGAGCAAACTCTTGAAGTCATGAAAATAGAGATTCATTTGGCATTAAAAACCTACATGGAAGAAAATATCATAAACAAAGTCAAAAGGAGTTGCAACTCATGCCAGCAACAAAGCCAATTTCATCAATAGGGAAAAATTTCAATAACTTATGTAAAAAAAAATGAGTAAAGATCATGAAGAGAATTCCTGGAAAACAGAATATAAGTGGCTGTAAAACATACGAAGAGATTCAATCTTCTTCAATATAATGAAGTTGCAAACTGAGTCCACACTAATATCGACATTTTTACTGATGAGATTGTCAAAGACCAAAAAAAAGTGCCTGATCAGGGACGCCGCGGTACCTCGGCTGCCTCGCTAATGGGCGTGTAAACACGCATAACGATCAATACAGCGTAGGGCACCAGCGCAATTTTGAAAACGCACCTGTCCTTGAGCTAGCAATTCTAATTTTGGGTCGCCCCTATTGGCCAGGTCGCGACACTGCGCAACAGCAGCAAAACAGCAGCAGAGCTGACGCTCAGCAACCGGGCCTGCGACTACCGCAGCCCCGCGGTGCGTCACGTGGACGGGCGCGGCCCCGGGTGATCCCGGCGGTCACGTGGCCTCTCCGCCACGTGACGCGCCCGCTTCCGGCCGGCTGGCAGTGGCAGGATGGAGGAGGTCGAGGAGACGCGGGCGCTGCTGGCCGGCGGCGCGGGCGGCGCTGGCACCGCTGGCACCGCGGGCAGACCCCGCGCGCTGCCCGCGCTGTACGACCCGAGCCACCTGGCACACCGGCTGGTGGTGCTGCTGCTCATGTGCCTGCTGGGCTTCGGTGAGCGCGGGCCCCGGCGGCCGTGCTGCGCGGGCCGGGTGGGGAGCTCGGGCGCGGTGGTTCCAGAGCTAGGTCCCAGGGACTAGACGGGACGTACCGGAGGCGCGGGGCTCTGGCTTCCGTGCTTCTTGTCGCTCCGCTGCCGTTCTGCAGAGATGCCCACCCACCCATTTGCCCATCCTGGGAAGCGATTAAAGCTGGAGTTGAAAAGTTTCTGTGTTTAGGGACAGGGATTAGCAACTACCACGAAAAGTTTTGAGAAATTGCCCCTACTCAACAGCTACCTTATCTTGGGTCACTTCGGTAGTATGCCTGTGCTTCAGAAGCTTAACGTGTTAACAGTTTTGTTCCTCTGAATTTGTAGGTTTGTGTATTTGGAGAGTAGAAATGGGGCGGTATTTGTACCCTATTGTAGGCTGTCAGTTATTGTACCTTTAAAATAAATCCTAGTGTATGAATATCACATCTCTCCCTACTTTTGGTCCTCCAAGAGATATTTTTAACTTGATTCTTTAGAACTCTCAGCTTTATTTTTCTTTATTCCTAGCACTGTAGTCCCCGAATTATTCGACATTAAGTATTTTGCTTGTGGAATTAGAATTTGTTTAAAATTCTGGTCTAGTCAGAACAGCTAAACCACACTCTTCTGCTCCCAGGATAAGTGCTGACATCAGTGTTAAAGTTAGGAAACTGTCCAGTAGGTTTGTGAAATCGTCAATGTGTGTTGTTAGCTTTATATAAACAAAGTATAGCTGGTTCATGAAGCTGATAATAAAACAATAAACATGATGAATGAAAATAAAATGGAAAAACTGTTGCTTGCAGCACAATTCAAGTACCCATTATTTGCTATATGTATACACTACTACACCATGGAACTTATTTGTCTATGACTTAGAAAATACTGGTAATGAGAAAGTGGGCCAGAAAATTTTCATAGTCTCAGCCCTGGAGCCTGTAGTATGAACATTTGAAACCATCTTAGGGTAGTCATTGCAACTTGAAATTGTTATGTGGGCACTATTGTTACTTGCAAAATGTTTTGCCTTTTCTAGGCAGCTATTTCTGCTATGACACTCCTGCTGCCCTTCAGACCCAGGTTAAGCGGGTAAGTTGATTTTTTTCAGTTTTGTTCCTTTGCTTTGGAACAGTTGTAGCAGCACATCCTGAGTTGCCTGGTCTGAAAATTCCACTAACATCTGTAGTCACCAGACCCACAAGTCAGGAAGAGTGTTCTCAAGCTGAAATGAGTTGTCACAAGAAATTAATTTATAGCATACATGTGACTTGAAATTGTTTAATACCTTAGGTAAATAATAATATCCTGTTTCTACAGAATTGCTAAAATATTAGTTTTTGTTTTTGTTTCA